GAACATTACCGAAAAAGACAAGGGAGACTGAAATGGCCATTGTTTATTTACTAGTCGTCATCAGCCAGCCACACAGAACCCCAGGTGGTGCACCACCCGAGAAGTCTTATTCTAAAACCCACTGAACCACGGGCTCTTCGTCCTGTCGGTTTCGATTGGTCTCCCATGTCCTTTTTAGTAATGTGTTTTTGCCTACAATATGCTAGTCGTAGAGCGGCTGATGGTGGGGCTCGATAGTGAGCCCCAAGGCAGAATGGGACGAGTGAGTGAGTGATCGATGAGCGTCCATCCGCCAAAATGTATATTATTTTATCGACCTAATAATAAATAATCAAGAACGTATGTTGGTCCAATCTCAATTCTTTAAATCATCACGAGTACGAGATCTACTCCACCACAGTCCTTTCGCGGTACAGCGGCAAGTTTAAGGCAAGACGGCTGAGCAGACAGGTAGCATGACCTTAGCATGCAGAAACACATTGGGATTCTCCCCAGTTGAAACAGGCTTTAAATAGCTAGGCGCTGCTGTCACGGTCCATCAGTCTCTAAAGAGGACGGGTTTCACAGCGTCCTTCATTTCGGCGGTTCAATCAATAAAGAACGATCATTTGTACCGGGCTTCCCACTAGAAGGGCGCAGGTCGCTAACTTGTGCAGGAATCAGTTTCTAGTGAGACATGGCGAGTAGATGGAAGAGAAGGAAAGCGAGGTAAGGATGACTTATATGTTCTCCCCTAACAAGAATACGGGACTATGAACGCCTTGCTAAAATAATAACGGTGGCACTACGCATAATTCCAGGAGGATTAAATATTTCAATGTCCGACCTCTTCCATTTGCTCTAGCCCAAAACCAATCCTTAGTCCTGAGCTTAACGCTAAACCTACGTTAAATGCTAATCCAACACTTAAAACTAATCCTAATCTTAACCGTAATTGGAACACTGACTTATCACGGACTGGAACACAAGACAGAAAACCTTAATTCGACTCAGTCGAAGGACCTACACTTCTCTAGGTTTTGACGATTTTCAGGACACTGACAGAACTGCATACGGTGAAAATAGTCAGGTTTGCAATGCCAATCTCATTTGGTTTTGGCTGTCAGACTTAATTTGTATCTGGTCATCCGGAAGCCAAATACGAAACTGGAGGATGACGGAGAGCATTCTAGTTAATCAGACCCCGAATCCACGACCTGGATACCCTGCTCAGTGTCTATTTGCGTCCCACGCATCGATCACCATTGTTCGCTGTCCGGCAGATCTACAAAATAATCTCAGCCTTGTCCACTATAAACATGTATTTGGAGCAGGGTTGTATTCGTTGGACAGCCTCAAACACATCGGTAGCCCTGTAATTTACTCGGAAATTAATGCGCTGACTTTGGGTAAGCACTTCGGACAAACGCTTTCAGGTTGGCTCCGAGAGTTGATACAAATTTGCTAGTAGAAATCTCTCAGTTTCAACTGAACAAGTGCGTGATGCACATAAGCTGCAAACAAGCAGTCAGTAGTTTAAAAGCCTTCCATGATTCGCTGCACTACCAAGAAAGATACTTGCTAAATAACTAGGCACGTGTTACACCAATATTCTGTCGCTACATGACACCACTGCGGGGGTTTAGCTTATCGGGGAGTCGCCTAGCGTTTCTCATGCTCTAGTTTTGAAATTACAGCTTTTTTAAATTTCCCATCAGACATAAATGCGCTAATTCGAAAAAAAAGCTTTGAGACAAACTTTTTCAGCCTGGTTTCGTAAATTGACTGGGCAACAAAACGCATGTCTTGACTTTTAGCCATTGCATGTGCTGCCAGCATGGTGAATCATGCAACAACTGAATTAATCATTGGATTAATTGTCAAATTACTGCACATATCATCCGTAGCACAAGCCCGATCTGACAAAGACAGTTATCGTCAACTAGAGTAGAGGCAAACTACCGTAGTTCATCAACCCAGTGTTCGACTGAAAGCGATATTATCTACCAAATCAAAGCATTATGTTAGGGAAGGCACAATCTCACCATCTGATAGGGAAGATCGGCCCCACCGTAACGCCCATGTAACTTCCGGGGGAATTGCCTATTATTTGACCGGATTGACGAGTGAGGTGAAATAGAAGGCGTGGTAGCACCCGAGTCCTGTTTGGTTGTCGGTACCGAGAGGAGTGAGGGAGTGGAGAGCTCAGAGGTGTGACTGCCGAGTGACTCACTCGGTGAGCAGCGGCTTGTAGACGCCAGAGTCGCAGAACTCCTCTCTCTGCAGGACGAACAAGAGGTAAACAATTTATTATACAAAATAAACACTGCAAGTCCATAGTGGTATATAATTTACAAAAATACTTTCGAGGTTGGTTAGGCTCCGATCAGTGTAGTCATACAATAGTGCATTCTCGACCGATGGATTGGAATCTTTTAAAATTTAATATCACATAGTAATAACTTTCCTTGCCCAATGCGGATGTGGGATAAGATATATGGCGTTCTACTTTGCCCCATCTAAACAGAACTATTACGGGCGATTGCATAAAGAAGAGTTATCAATAAAAGAGAAGCACTTTCTATAGAGAGGAGTACTTGAGATTTGTCGAGAATAGTCAGATTCCCATGCGCACAAACTTACTCGAGGAATCTGAGTAGATATTCCAGGGCTAAACCAGAATTGATATCTCAATCACTGTGTTCACTCCTATCGCCAACTTGCTAACGCGTTCGGAAAATTGACTGGTGCACGGTAGAGAGAAGATGGCGGCACGCTGATCCTTCACAATACCTCCTCACAACTCATCAGCGCATTCCCCACTTTGATCATGCCGATGCTTCTAAATCTATCGCGATGCGCCTTGTAAGGTTATCAACTGACTGGATGACTCGGTTTTCCTCTCAGGGTGGAAAGTCGGGCTGAAAAAGCTCCATCTAACTTTGGCCATATGACACTCTATGTTTGCTAGAGCTGAGTAGTCCACTTGACACGTTCTGGAGGACCAGATCGTATGTGGAACACGTAAACGGACTGTTCGGCTTTGTCAGTCACTGCATCTGAGCCCATATGCAGTCATCCTTACAATGTCTTACCACCGGCGCCAGGGGATTAGGTTAGGACGGTGTAGTAGATACTGCGAATGTCTGCCTCGCTACAAATCAGTTTCTGCTACTCATGTCTCTGATGATGAATCCGCGACGGATGTCGAAACGTCAGGCGAATAAATGTATTGTTCGAGCGATCGAGTTGTCTTCTTCTCAATTACTTCCTGGGACTCGCCTAGCGATCGAGTCTTCTTCTTCTTAACATGTTAAGGCCCATCATCAGACTGTTTTACTCAAAGTTACGGCTAGAGGATGGCGGATGTGACCATAGTGCTGCTCGGATCTCCTTCACTATAAATTAATTCACGCGCAAGTCATCGCTACAGCCCCGAAGCAGTTACGGTTTTCATCGATGACGGTAGACAAAATACGGTTATAAGAACCATTTGTTTACGATTTTCTTCTGCAAACTCATTTCTAACTTGACATGAACAAAAGAGGAACAACATTGTCTCACAGAATGCTCACATGCCGAGGCAGTTCGTTGATTAGAGTCAGCACATTTTAGTTTTTTCTAATTGGTTACTAGATCTCAAATAGGTGCTTATTTTTCTTTAGGAAAAAATGAAGTGAGTTGGACTTTCCCAATAAGTTAATGCGTTTTCGATATGGCATTTGTTTGCTACGCAATTGATTGTTATGACATGGGAATGGGTATGCCTTGCGCTGTACTTCAGACAAGTTGGGGTTAGGGCTAAGGTTAAGACACGGCAGCGGCGACCCCTTGGAATATAACACACAACCACCTGTAACATGGGTTATCTATTTCCTTGTCCAACTACTTTCTTTGTAGGGGTCGAAGTAGTGGTTGTGCTTAGAGCACTACAATCGTCAGAT